CGCGCTCCTTCCTGCTGCCCACCATCGTCAGGCCCTCGCAGGGGATGTGTGGCACCTACCTGAGCCTGGCAGCCGGCCACGGTGACAGAGCCCTCAGCGGCATCGTGCAGGTCGGTGCCCTGTCCTCCTGGGCAGCTCCAGTCTCCTCTTTCCCTTCCTGACTGCCCCAGAACTGGTGGCCACAGGTTACTGGGTCAAACCTTGGTGTCACCTATTGTAATGCAGCTCTTGGCTGTCTTATCTCAATCAACTATCACATCAGGGATCACGTCGGGGTCACCACTATTGTAACCATGCTGTTATATTATTTCTAGAGTCCGTACCTTCTGGCTGGTTTTCTCACATGCAGCTCTTCACAGCAGTGCTATTCCCTGTGGCTTCATCAGAGCTCCCCCCAGGCCCTCAACCCACACCCTTTTTATCCTAGTAGCCTTCACGAGCCACAGCTGCTGCCCAACTAAGGCCTTCACAGCTGTAGCTCATTTAGAACAACTAGGACTGGGGCATAGCCACTTATACAGTACATAGATTTGACAGGGACTCCTACTACAGTCACCAGTTCCACACTTGGGTCATTTCAAATCTCTAAGGGTTACCAGTTTACTGTTCTTGCACCTTTCCTGGTGGCACCACTCATAACTGTAGAGGAGAAGCACTTTGGCAAAATCTATGATGGTTTTTGTCATTCTAATGCCTGTTCAAAACTCATCTTAGGGATGATAAGAAAAAAAGGAGTATTTTTTTATTCAGCGAATTGCAGGGAACTGGCAGCCCTTTAACCCTTTTCCACATGAAAAGCTCCTTTGAGGGCATTCCCAACTGAATTCTTCCAGCTCAACACTGAGTATAAATTGGGCAGTTCCTCATAATTTATGGTTTGTAAGGAGGGGAAGTGCTTGCCAATAGCTTGATTGCATGTACAGCAGTAATGGATTGCTGAAAAGAAAAGCCTGAGAAGGGCTCCAGTTTCCTTACCTTTTGGAAAGCATTCTTCAGAGCAAATCCAAAGCCAAGAACTGCTTCCTAGTGCTTTGTTTGGAGAAGTCACATGCTGAGCTTTTGGCTGTAACAAACCCTCCTCTGGAGCTTACATCATGTTCCAGACACACAACTCTGCTGCTTTAGCAGGAACTGTGTGACAAAAAGCCCATGCTATCCTGAAATGTCCTGCTTTACAAACAACAACATACAGGCCACATTCCAAGGACCTGTTAGTGTGTGCACAGCCCTGCAGCAGTTCATGCTGTAACTGGTTCAAAATCTCCTTTGCCTGCTGCATGTGCAGATGTTGGAGCCACCAATTTTGGGGGATGCTCAGGATGTTGGCTTCTCCTATTCTCATAGATTTTTTTTATTACTGAGGATAATTTATTCTCTTGCAGGTTTTGGTAAATGTTTTAACGCTTAACAAGAATCTGAGTGAAAGTTTGTCACTTGGTCGACTTCACCCCCAGCTTCAGTCCAACACCTTGCAGGTTGACAGTGAGTATGGACACTGGGTGGGACACAAATGGACACAAATCCAGCAAGTTTAGGAAAAGAGCAGGATTTCCCTAGCACAGTGCAATGAAGCACCACAGGTCACCATGTTCTAGGGTGCCCAGGGGTGTGGAGGGTTTTGGGGAAGACAAAAATCAGAATTCAACTTCTTCAAAGCTTGGGGCCTTTGCTGAGCCATGTCCTTTCCCTCTTGTCCTGGAAGCATTTCCATGACCCCTCTGGCACCACCTCTCCAAGCTCTTGCAGGTGCTTCTCCCCAACCCTTCCTCTGTCCAGCTCATCTCCTGGCAGTGGCCTTGTCCTGTCCTTAAATCCTTCTGGAGATCAGGTGCCATGGACAATATCCAACTCAGCAAGACTGCAGCCTCAGCTTCACCCAGACATGGGCTCAAACCTTCCTGCACTTTATTCCACTGACATAAATTATATTCCTTCACTTTTCAGTCCATGTCCTTCAATTCCAGCAGCTGGGAAGAAGGCAAGGCTCATGGAAAGGGCTGAAAACACAGCATCAGTGCTGGCACTCTGCAGTCTGTACTGGCAGCTCTTGTCCTTGTTACTGTCAGTCTTGGTCTATTTGGTGCTTTTCACACTGCCCCAGACTTCACCAGAGCCACCCATAAGTGAAATTTGGTTCTCATTCCACACCAAATAGCCAAAGTTTCTGGACTTTTCCCATTTCAGAGGAAAATCTAAATAGGATCTGTCCTTCAGTGTGCCCTGCAGACTTGGAAGTTAAAATGGAATTAAATCTGAAACTTCACAAGCTCCTAATTTGTGAGTTTGGACATTGTGAAGGAGCAGCAGGCAGGTTCCCCCACTGCAGGGAGGAGAACAGACCTTTGCATCAGAGGCAACACTGGTTTCAGTTACCAACTTTCTTCTCAAATCCCTGCAGGTGAGTTTCCTGAAGAAGATATTGCCCTTCTTGTGGCCAGGGGCCATCAGGTGGATAAAGTCCCCGTGGTGTCCCTGGTGCACGGGGCCAGGAGAACCAACAGTTTCATCATTGGCCTGAAGGACCCCAGGAGTGCAGATGCTGCTGGAGCCACAATCTTGTAGCAGCCCCCGGGGCCGTGGGCTGTGGCAGGGCTGACACACAACCCTGAGATGTGCATGTTCTGCAGTGGCCCCTTCCCCAGCCCCCACACTGCTGGGAAGGTGTTCTGCACTCCCCAGAGGAGCCAGCAGCAGCAACATCCAGCTCTCTTTTCATTTTTCAGTCCTTGGGCCTGGTTACAGGAGTGGCAGGAGCACTTTTCTTTTGGCAGTCTTGCTAATAGTTCAGTCTTTCCAAAGCTCAGTTCTAGCCAGCATCTTACTTTTAGGGGTCAGGAACATGAGCACGGGAAAAAACAGCTGCTGTTATTATTGATGGTGATTATCCTCATCTCCCTGTCTTTCCCAAGCTCCTTCTTTGCTTCCAGTGCAAGCCAGTAATTAATAGAGCCTGGTGGAATGTTTGTAGGTGCCTGCAGCTGGAATATTGAGGAGTGCTCTAATATTCCATGTGGGCCAGCTGATTTTTGCCAACGTGCAGCATCCCAGGGAAGTTCCTGTGCCCACATCACTACCTACCTTGAATTCTGGCAGTAAATATTTTGAATCTAGTTGCTGCACAGACTCACTGGCAGTCTGATTTTGTAACCTGATTTTCACCACCTCTAACAACTTCTTCCTGTAACAACTTGTGCATCCCCCAGTAGTTTTCTTACAGAGGTTTAACCTCCTCACTGGTGAATTTCAGATTAATGGTAGCAGGTTTAAATTTCTTAGACACTCTTTGGAGATATTTTAGCAGTACTCCACAATGAAAAACCACAGATCACAAACTGAAGAGCACATAGAGAGCATTTAGGTGGGTTCAGAGCTTTTCTTCCACTGCATTATCTCAATCTGTTCCAAAAGCCTGGGTCACTCCTACAGAGAGGCTTGGGAATTTCTGCTGGCTGAATTAATGGCTGTACCTTAGCTCTGTGTTTTAGTCCCAGTGAATCTATTGGAAAAGCTGAAGAGAGTGAGAGGAAAAGTAGAAACCAAGCCAAGCACTACTGAGATAATTTTCTGTCCACAGCATGTAGTGAAAATAAAAGAATGCTCTTGCATTTTGTGTCTGAAATTGAGGAGGGAAGAATACCCCAGCTGACATCTGCACCAGGTCATTCAGCCCACATTTGGACATTTCTTGTTCTTTTTGCTGGCTAGTTAGAGACACTTGGCACTGAAAAATCCAGAGATTGATCATTTTCTGCAGTCTAAAATGTGATGTTTTCCTTCATGGTGCAAATGCACCCATGGCCACTGTACATATTATATATGTATGTCTGCTTATGGTTGTGTTGCTCTTTGATTTGGTGATGACACCACTCACCCTGTGGCTCCCTGTCTGTGCCACCTCTGGCACTGGAGGGCATGGGCTGGTTTTGGGGAGGTTGGGGCCACAGGGCAGATGATTGGACTGGATAATTGGACTGATTGTTCCTGGGCTGTGGCTCCCGAACAGCCCAGTGCAGCACGTTGGCTGTGTGGGAACAGAGGTGTTTGCATGCTCAGCTGGAGTGCAGCCACCCATGAGGGGAACAGAGCAGCTCCCACTGACAGCACCATCAGCAGCATTTCCTGATCCAAGTACATCCATGCCCTCAGCTGGGACAGGGGAAGCACAGTGTTCTATCTGTGACATGCTCTGTGCCACCAAGAAGAGACTTTCTTCACCACAGGGACACCAAATCTATTTATTTCTTTCTCTGTCATCAGCACTGGAGTTGGTCACTGAGCAAGGATGGAGAGATGTAAATGTGTCATGGAGCAGAGCTCTTCAGGCTCTGTGGGAAGGCAAGGAGGCAGTTCTGTGGGTTGAACCTCTCTGGAGATGGTCTGGGGTTTTCTGCTCTGTCCCAGCCCTGATCTGTCCCTTGGGCATGGAGGTTCTCTATGAACAGCTGCAAAATATGTGATCGAGTCATTGTCAGTGCAGAACTTTGCATGAAATGTCACAAAACACCTTGAAAGATTAAATTCCTCCTTATTAACTGAATTCACCAACTTCTGATGCTGGATACCGTGTATATGTTTGGGAGTAAAAGACTTTGGTCTTGATTCAAAAGGGCACTCCTATGTCCCAAATTACAATTTCACAGCAATTATCCAGAATCTTAAAATAAAGCATGTTCTGTTCTGCTCAATCATGGCCTGCATTGCAAAAAACAGAAAATTGAAAATAATTGGAAGATGAGACCTATGCCTCTAGGTTTTAGCTGAGAGAAGTAAAAGTATTTCAAATAATTTCCTTTTTTTTTTTCCTCTTTTTAAAAGCAACATCAGTATAGCACAGATGTATCCAACATGGACACCTTTAATCTGCTAATTGGCCCAGTGTCTCTAGTATTTTGAGCCCATCTGTTGTGATCTGATGAATTTAACATCTAATGAATTTAAGATCTGATAAATTTACCATGAGGTACCAAGAAATACCTGATGTTTCCCTTGGTACAGGTGAGATGGGCACTGTGAAATAAAGGGCTGTATTGCAGAGATGTGTGTGTGCAGAGTACCTGTGCTGATTTCAGCCTGGCCCTTGCAGGCCTCTGACAGCTCTGAAGCAGAATTTGTCCTGAAACTTTGTCATGGAAGTGTCAGTGAGGAGCTCAGAACACAAAATACAAAGGGGCTGGGAAAAACAGAAATGTTTTTAAAAGAAGTAAAATAAAAACAAACAAAGTAAATAAATTTTTAAAAGAAGCCTTTACTAAATGGGACAAATTATGATCTGGAATGTGGCCAGCTTGTTTCTGCCCGGGTTTGCAGTGCTCCCCATCAGTGTGTGCTGCTTTCACACGAGGATGAGCTGGATGGAGCCAGGTGTTGCCATGGAGCTGCAGCAGTTTATTCTTATTTTTCCCAAGGGCTGAATGCCCCTCCCGAGCACAGGTGACAAACTGCCTGCTGGCCTTGGGCACTGCTGCTCACCCGGGCACAGCCCGAGGAGGGAGCAGGAGCCAGGCCCACTCTCCTGGGGTTAATTTCAATTATGTGGAGGCTGAAGCAGGGTGAGGATGAGGATGAGGATGAGGATGAGGATGAGGATGAGGATGAGGATGCTCTGGCCTTTGGGCTGTGCCATTCTGTTCCCTCACTGTCCCACGTGTGCCCAGGCACAGAGCGGGGCCGGAGCCTGCCTTGCTCTGGGTGGGCTGGGATGCTGGG